TTTGAAAAAGAACATTTGATTTGCAGGACATAGTAACCTTAGGAAAATTCTGTTTTAAAAATAATTACTGAAAACAGAAAAAAATTGGGGGTGATATTTTTAAAAAGTTGTTGTGTGTTTAAGTACCCAAATCCTCATTTAATGCCCATAAAAGTAAGCTGAAACATGATTTCCTATAAGATACAGCTATATTCAGCCTCATAACAAAAGAACTTTTTTATTATACTGTCTACTCTCACACATTTGATAGCAGAAACCCATGCAGTGAACTGTGCTAGCAGTGTTTTAAGAAGAAATAATATTTGGATCACAGGCTTTTTTTTGGGGGGGGGGGATCCTATCCTGACTTGCACAAAGTTTCCCAAAGAAAACATTTAACCATTAGAAATGATTAGAGGTCAGGCATGTAAAACTTAGTATTTACTTAGAACATCTCAGAAAAAAAATATTACCTAAATATTGTCTAGTTTGTTCAGTTTTATTTATTTAGATTAATAACTTCTTGGCTGTCCTCAAAATTATTTTACTTTAATTGTATGATAAATTGTGATAGTTGTAACATCTTTATGTTTAATAATTGTATAACTTAAATTGAATATAGTTTGCCATTGGACTCTCCTAGACATTTTAACTTTATGCATATGATTTAAATTAAATTAAATATAAATCAGATTAAAAAAAAAGATAATTGCTGTTACCCACACTTTAGTACACAAAGAAACAGGGATTCCGAGAGACTGAGTAGAATGCCTGAGGTCCTATGGTAAGTCTGACTCTTGTTACTTATGAAGTTTTACTGCACCGCACTGTTGCCGCACTTTGTTTATCTTAGCGCCCCCTCCCACAGATTTGCCACTGCTCAGTACTCTCCACCTCATAAAATGCTCCATCACGGACTTTATATGTCAGGTATTTGTGGGACATGCAGAACTTAATTAAATACAAAGCCTGAAACTTAGGATGTGGCCCAGTTGGAGGAGTAGGTTTACATGCGGGTCATCACGTCGTACAAGGTGGCTAACCTATGAGAGGGTTAGATTGCCCACGTGGTATGGAGAGAGGACAGCGATCAAAGGATGGGGCCACTAAATACCAGCGTATAAGGAAGGAGGAAGGAGGAAGGAGGAAAAGAAGTGCCTGCTTCCTAGACAGAGGACTCATGAGGAAGATTCTAGAACATGCAGGGTGTCAGCTGCCAAATAATGGTTCTGAGGAGGTGGTGTTTACAGAGGGTCATATGTGGCACAGAGAGCCAGGAAGACAAGGACTGGGTCTGCCTGTTCCATTTGTCATTTAGGGTTCCTGGGACTCTGGGTAAGCGCAGTGTTCTTAGGGTTTTGGTGAACTGGAGCTAGACTGTGGCAAGTCAGATGTCAGGAAGTGGAGACAAAGGTGCGTCCAGTACCATAGCCGCTGACTTCAGTCTGTACCAGCTGCTCTACAGGTGCTCTGTGGCCACACGCGGCTAGTAAGACTTAAGTCAGCTGTGAGTGTGATACACACACAGGATCTCCAAGACTTAGCATGAAAAAGAACTTACGTACAACATGTCATTGGTAAGTTTTTATATTTATACATGCTGAAATAATGTTTTGGATATGTTAGATCAGTTAACACATATTGGATGTATTAGATCAATTTATACATGAATAAAATTAATTTTACATGTTTCTTTTTACACTTTTTGGGTTTTTTGTTTTTGGTTTTCTTTTTTTCGTTGTTCTTGGTGGGGGAGGGTATTTAGGTTATTTATTTATTTATTTAATTGCGGTACCGAGGATTGAACACAGGACCTTGTGCATGCTAAGCATGTACTCTGCCACCGAGCTGTACTCTCCCCCCCCCATCTTTTTACATTTTTAGTGCAGTTCCTAGAACATTTTAAATTATACATGTGGTTACATTTGTGGCTCTCATATGTCTGTTAGACAGCACTGGTATGCACTGTTCTTTTAAGAAGAGTTCTTCAAAAAGGAAAGATAGCAAGCAGATGTCTTCTAGATAGAGAAATGCAAGGTCAAAGGGAAGGACTTTTCAACTTGTCTGTAGCCCCTCAGAAAAGGAAGAAGTTGAGGGAAGATTGAATTTGACTAATAGGTGAGGCTGGGAAGTCACGTCTGCAGGTGGAGGGATGGGATCTCCTCTGACGTAAGGAGGTGGGAACACACTGAACTTGAGTTCTGTAGGTAGGTGGGGACAGAGACAGGAAGTAGAGGGCATAAGGAGTATAAAAGGTGTTTGGGTTCAATAGATCACACAGATTGAAACCAGGAAAAGTTTGTGTGACCTGCAAAACTTGTGTGTATCTGGGGTCATCAGTCTTTCTTGTCATAGGGAGCCTCCTGTTGTGTAAGAATCTGTTGAGATAATTAATGATGACCATTCATACCTCATCTAACAGTGGAGTGCTCTGCCTGACACAATCTGTGTTACTTACAGGAGAGTTTGATACCGTACAAAGCCCCTCCACACCCATCAAAGATCTCGATGAGAGAACATGTCGGAGTTCTGGGTC